TCACAGCTGGGGGAGCCACAGCCCTCCTCTCGCCTCCAGAGGCTCCTCCCCGGGCCTGGGGCCCTCCGGTCCTCCAGCCCCAGACCCATGGGGGCTCCTGCCAGCCTGACTCCGCTCTCAGGGAGCAGCCGGCACTGCAGGGAGGCCCCTGGGGTGTCAGATCCCCCTTCCATCCGCTCCCACAGCCCTGCACGACGTAAGCATACGTCCCAGGAAAGCGATGGTAACAGGACCAGGCCTGACCCCCCTCCAAGCTGCCTGCCACACAGACCCCTGCCCCCTCTACCTAATTCATAGCTTCCACAGGAGCCAGCGGGGCCCTGACAGGCCTGAGCCGGGCTCTGTGCTCTGCGCCTGCACTGATGGCTGGCTCACTCAGAACCATGCCAATCCAGGCTGCCAGGAGCCTCGGGGGGCATCCCCCCTGCGTCTCCTGGAGCAGGAAGCGCGGCCAGGAGTGGGCAGTGACTTGCCCAAGGTCACAGTGCCGGGCAGTGCCGGCGCCAGGCCTTGGACGTGACTTTTCTGATGCCAAGCCCTCTCTCGACCTCGTCCGGCCGGCCAGGGCGGTCTCCCCTGCCTCCTCCCATCACGCGCCCCACTGGGCTTTGGAGGTGCCACCCGGCAGCCCGAGAGAGGCAGGCGGGGCAGAGCCTGCTCCCGGGTGGCTCTGAGGGGCCCTGAGTGGCTCTGAGGGGCTGGCTGGGCGGGAAGTGGGAGGCCATTAGGACCCAGAAGCTCTGGGAGCATCCTCCCGCCGCTGCCTCTCACGCTCACTGCAGTGGCTCAGGCAGCGGCAGCCGGAGCAGCAGCCGGAGGAGCTATCACAGGGGACCTGGGCCGCTGGGCAAAGGTAGGAGTTGCCGACTAGGCCAGGAGCAGGGGCCGCGGGGCCCTCCGGGAGGGCGGCTCTGGGTCCCGGGGACCAGCCCACCCTGCCTTATGCGGGGATGGCTCCCAGGTACCCCGAAGGCAGCGCTGGGTGTGGGCATCTCTGAAGCCTGGCGATGGGGCTGACCTCCTGCCAACGGGAGTGCCCACATCCCGCAGGCAGAGAGGGCTCCCCACCCGTCTCCTCCCGCGTCCCAGGGACGGGTCCCTCAGCATCCAGGCCGATGGCAGCTCTGCATCCTGGGTGTGGGCAGCTCTGCCCGGGAGAGGGGCTGCAGGAAGCCCCGTGCCCAGGCGGGCATGCTCCGTCTGAAGGCAGGCCGGGCTGGCGCCGGGCTGGTGCCGGGGAGGGCAGCTCCGGTCTGGGAGGCAGGTGCATGGGAAGCCCACGGTGCCCTGTGGCCTCGGGCTGGGCACTGCCGGGCATCTTGCACCCAGAAATGAGGGTGTTTGTGACTTGACCGTGTCCTTGCTCGAGGCCCGGACCTCGGCCCCCGGGGGGGCAGAGCCTTCAGGTCCAGAGGTGAGGGCGGGGGCGGCAGGGAGCGGTGGATGAGCGTGTCTGGGAGGCAGAGTGATGGGAGCGAGGAGGGGCCGGAGGCCGGCCTGCCTCCCACACCGGTGCCCGCAGCCCTCTGCTCCCGGCAGCCAGGCAGTGCCGGGCAGGTCCGTGGCTCCATCTGCCAGGAGGGGGCTCCTGGGGCTTCGGAGTCAGCGTGGAGACCCTGGCGCTGTGGCCGAGAGACGCCCCCGGCTTTCTGGTCTAGGGCTCCATTATGCCTGCACAGCGCCCACCCCCGGCCCCATCTCCACGTGGCAACCCTGTCTGCTTCCCTCCGTCTGGGGCCCAGGTGGGCCCTGCTGGCAGGCCCGACGCCCCTCGGCCCCGGTGGGCCTCTGCCCTCCGGCTCCCAGGGCCTCCTGGGCCCGCTCCCCGGTGGAAGGGCCGGGGAGTCACGGCCCGGGGAGGAAGGGCGAGGATGCCCCCTATCTTCCCTCTGCATTCTTCCTGGGAGACTGTCTCCTGAGAGGAGCTGCTGTCTCCACGTTGGGGCTCTCTCTCCCCCTTCTCTGCAGCCTCCCAGGCTCTGAGCCATTTTAGCTGGGAGCCGGGCTGTTGGAGGCTCCCAGAGACGGACAGTTGTCCAGGGGTCCAGGGCAGCCTGTCCACCAGGGGCTCCCGGCGACCACACGGCGGGCTGTGAGCCTTCTGGGAGGAGGTGCTGGCGGCAGGGATTCAAATGATGGACTTGAGTTTGATTGATTCACAAGCCTGTCCGGAGTGCCCGGTGCCTCACGGTGTGTGTGCCGGACGTGGGAGGGGGCGAGGCTGGTCGTCACCGTGCAGGGGGACTGGGCCCCATCTGGTCCTCTTCCCTGCAGCCAGAGAAATGGTGGTGGGGGGGGTGTGGTTTGTTTTTTTTTTAATTTTTTTAATCCTCACCCGAGGATATGTTCTTATTGATGTTAGAGAGGAAGGGAGAAGGAGAGAGAGATGGAGAAACATGGATGTGAGAGAGAAACATTGGCCAGTTGCCTCCCGTACATGCCCGAACCAGAGACCTGGGTACATGCCCTGACCTGGAATCGAACCTGCGGCCCTCCACTGTACAGGATAATGCTCCAACCCGCTGAGCCACCGACCAGGGCCCAGGGGATGGTGTTTTAACACTGAGCAACCACCAGGCCCTCGGTGGCCCAGGAGCTCACAGAGTCATCAAAAGTTATCACACAGGGAGATCTTGGGGATCAGCTAGTGCGGTGGTGGGCAAACGCCTTAGTCCCAGAGCCAAATATCAACAGCACAATGATGGACATTTCTTTGGAGAGCCACATTTTTTAAACTTAAACTTCTTCTAACGCCACTTCTTCAACGTAGACTCGCCCAGGCCGTGGTATTTTGTGGAAGAGCCACACTCAAAGGGCCAAAGAGCCGCATGTGGCTCTCGAGCGCAGTTTGCCGACAACAGGGCTGGTCCAGTCCTCCCTCTTCACAGACGAGGAGCCTGGGCCCCGGGCCACGTGTGACGTGTCCACGGAAAGCCCCTCCGCCTTGCATGTCCACCGTCCGCCTCTCAGGCGCACACCTCAGCCCACTAGACCGAGGGACCTGGGCTGTAGGAATGGCATCTGGGATGAAAACAAGGACAATTACGCCGGGCAGCTCTTTCAATTTGTGTGCAAACTCAACACGGCTGAGGAGCACGGGGCACAGGGCTGAGGAGCACGGGGCACAGGGCTGAGCTGCCATTTGACCAGGAGGCAGCAGAGACGCTGAGACCCCAGACTTCCTCTCCCAGTTTCTTCTCTGCTTCACGCTCACCGACCTTCTCTATCTAAGTCATCTACCCACTCTCCCACCTACCCCCTTACCCAGATGCCTGCTCTCCCCCTACCCCCCAGTTCCGTGATGTGGTAACAGTCCCGGGACAAGAGGGCTTTGGGCCTCGGGGGTCACCTCCAGTGACCAGAGAGCTGAGGCCCCGGGCTGGGAGGTTAGAGACAGCTCCCCTCCCGCCTGCAGGGCACAGTGGCCCGGTGGGTGGGGAGGACGGCTTCCTTCTGCCCTTCCAGCTTTGGGGTAGTGGAAGCTCAAAGAGCTGAACTCCAAGCTTCCATTAATTTTTTTTTTTAATGTATTGATTTTAGACAGAGAAGAAGAAAGGGAAGGGTGAGAGAGAGAGAAAGAGAGAGAGAGCGAGAGAGAGAGAGAGAGAGAGAGAGAGGTGGCTGCTCCATGATCTCTGCCTTCTCTGGTTGACTCTTGCATGTGCCCTGACGGGAGGTCAGCCTCGGTGAGGTGGGACGATGCTCCAATCGGCTGAGCTCCCGGCCAGGGCCTGCCTGTTTCCTCTCACCCCCAACCCCGCCCCCCAAAGTACCAGCCCTTTGTCCTGGGGGTGTTAGAGCCGCCTGTCTGCTTTCAGGGCGCCCCGTCCAGCGTGGCCCCAGCGCAGGGAGGGCCGTTTTCAGAGTCGGCTCACGTTCGGCAGCTCCTCCCTGACCGCCGAGACGCCGCTAGACCCGGCGTGGCAGCCGCCCTCGCCACGCACTCGCCGTGTGACCTTCGGTAAGTGCCCTCTCCAGGCCTCAATGTCATTGGCTGCAAAGCGGACGTCGGTGCTCCCTCCCGGGCAGGGCTGCCTGCGGGTCACTCCGCGGAGAGCCCAGCCCAAGGCCCGGCCGGCGGGACGCCTCCCGGAAGGTCCCTGCTCCTCACTGGTCTTCTTCTTCTTCTTGTTTTAAAAATATATTTTATTGATTTTGTACAGAGAGGAAGGGAGAGAGATAGTTAGAAACATCGATGAGAGAGAGTCATCGATCAGCTGCTCTCTCGCACACTCCCTACTGGGGATGTGCCCGCAACCAAGGTACATGCCCTTGACCGGAATTGAACCCGGGACCTTTCAGTCCCCAAGCCGATGCTCTATCCATTGAGCTAAACCGGTTTCGGCCTCCCTGGTCTTCTTATTGCCGGACCTCAGGGGGCTCCGAGCACGGCTGCGAGGTCGGCGTTGTTCCCTCCGCTTCCAGATGCCTTGATGAGGAAGCTGGCGTTGGGCAGAGTCGCTGCGTTGGCAATCCCCAGCCCCCGTGTTCCTCCTGCCCCCACCTGCGCCTGCGGCCGTGAGGAGACCAGACACCGGGAGACGTACATGGACAGCCTCGAACCCTGGGCGCTGCCCCGGAGCTCGGCGGGACCCTGGGCGAGGGAAGCGGATTCAGACGCTCTGGATGGGGTGTCCTGGACGGGGGAGAAGGGCCTGGACCACAGAGGAGAGGACGTGGTGAAGAAGGAGCCAGAGACCAGTCAGCGGGCAGAGTGTTGAGTGGGCGAGGCTCCCCCATCCCTCTCGTCTGTCTCCTCCAAGGTCATGGTCCCCGCAGCAGACCCTGAGCTACCCCTGGGCAGAGACATGAGATCCTGAGCCCGTTCCTGGCCAGGGGCTCCGTCCAGCCGCCCCGCCTCCCCCCGAGGCTGGCCCCCGGAGCGTGTCCGAGAGACGCCCGCAGGAGGTGCCCGCACCCGGCGCCACCCCAGGGTCACCGGCCTAGGATGGGGGATGGGCCTGTGACAGGAGGCGGCCTGGGCGTCCTCTTCCGGCCCCATGGAGTCCTCGCCCGTCCCCCAGCCATCAGGGAACTCTTCCGCCCCGGGGAGGGCCCCCCAAACCCCGGGCCCCTCGACGGCCAGCGGGGCCCCCGAGGCGGGGCCGCGGGACGTGGCCTCGGAGTCCGTGGCCCTCTTCTTCATGCTCCTGCTGGACCTGACCGCCGTGGCCGGCAACGCCGCCGTGATGGCCGTCATCGCCAAGACGCCCGCCCTCCGCAAGTTCGTCTTCGTCTTCCACCTCTGCCTGGTGGACCTGCTGGCCGCCCTGACCCTCATGCCCCTGGCCATGCTCTCCAGCTCCGCCCTCTTTGACCACGACCTGTTCGGGGAGGTGGCCTGCCGCCTCTACGTGTTCCTGAGCGTGTGCTTCGTCAGCCTGGCCATCCTGTCCGTGTCGGCCATCAACGTGGAGCGCTACTACTACGTGGTCCACCCCATGCGCTACGAGGTGCGCATGACGCTGGGGCTGGTGGCCTCCGTGCTGGTGGGCGTGTGGGTGAAGGCCTTGGCCATGGCCGCCGTGCCCGTGCTGGGCAGGGCCTCCCGGGAGGAGGGGGTGCCCGGCCTGCCCCCGGGCTGCTCCCTGCAGTGGAGCCGCAGCGCCTACTGCCAGCTGTTCGTGGTGGTGTTCGCCGTCCTGTACTTCCTGCTGCCGCTGCTGCTCATCCTGGTGGTGTACTGCAGCATGTTCCGCGTGGCCCGCGTGGCCGCCCTGCAGCGCGGGCCGCTGCCCACGTGGATGGAGACGCCGCGCCAGCGCTCCGAGTCCCTCAGCAGCCGCTCCACCATGGTCACCAGCTCGGGGGCGCACCAGACCACCCCGCACCGGACGTTCGGGGGCGGCAAGGCGGCCGTGGTCCTGCTGGCCGTCGGGGGCCAGTTCCTGCTGTGCTGGCTGCCCTACTTCTCCTTCCACCTCTACGCGGCCCTGAGCGCCCAGCCCGCGTCCGCGCGGCAGGTGGAGAACGTGGTGACGTGGATCGGCTACTTCTGCTTCACGTCCAACCCCTTCTTCTACGGCTGCCTCAACCGGCAGATCCGCGGCGAGCTCAGCAAGCAGTTCGTCTGCTTCTTCAAGCAGGCCCCCGAGGAGGAGCTGCGGCTGCCCAGCCGCGAGGGCTCCATCGAGGAGAACTTCCTGCAGTTCCTGCAGGGCACCGGCTGCGCCACCGAGTCCTGGGGGGCCCGGCCCCTCCCCAGCCCCAAGCAGGAGGCCGCGGCCGCGGCCGTGGACTTTCGGATCCCGGGCCAGATAGCCGAGGAGACCTCCGAGTTCCTGGAGCAGCAGCTCACCAGCGACATCATCATGTCCGACAGCTACCTCCGTCCGGCCCCCTCGCCTCGGCCCGCATCCTGACGGGCAGCAGGCTGGACATCACGGAGGGAGGGGGGCCCGGGCCGGCCAGGACCGCGAGGAGCAGCGCCCGGTGGCTCCCCTTTCCCCGGCCAGCGGGGCCTGCGGGGCCTCTGCACGCGGCCTCTGCTTAGCGTTTTCGGGGTCGGGAACGGAGCCAGCAGGATGGACGCGTGGCAAACGCCTCGGACACGGCTGTGATCCTTGACTACTGGGGGAGGGAACCCGGTGAGATGGTGACGAGAGTCAAGGGTCACGAAGGTGAGAAGATGGATGTCTTTCCACTAGTGAACTTTCGCTCGTAAGGGTAGGAGCTGGAGGAGGCAGGGCGGCAGGCCGGGTGTGGCGTCGTCTTGGGGACCCTTTCAGGATGTTTCGATTTTTCAGGGTAATTTGTCTGGGGCAGTAACTGCCTCCAAGCAAGGTAAGAAAATGACCCACGTGGTCCCCTCTCCTGGCCAGGCTTAAAAAGCACCATTCCAGCCACGTGTTTCCATGTGAGTTTAGGTTTAGGCCTGCGGTTTCCTTAAAGGGAGAGGATCAGAGGGGCGTGATCCTTTCCCAGAGTTCTGCCGGAAGCCAAGGGAAAGGGCAGTCAGGGGGCTGCTCCCTCCTGCCCTCTGTCCTGGGAGCAGTCCCTCCGTTCCATGGCTCTGTCTCTCTCCCGCACACGGGGCATCAAGCGGGGGGTTCATCTCCGCAGAGGCAGGAATAGGACAGGATGGCTTTTCCTCCTTGTTTTTAGGACAAAGAAGTGGAAGGACTGGGGGTTGGATGGCTGTAGGGTTTGAATTGTTAGGGTGGTTGGGCACAGAGAAGCTAGGTGATCGTCGTTACCAATAACACCATCCATCTTTTCTTTCCCCTCCCCTAGGACTGGCCTCCCTGATCTCTCTCCTCATGGCCGTGACCCACCTCCAGCCCCTGGACCATCGGGTTACAGAGACTAAGGTTGGGAATGGGTTGGTTGGGTGGAGTTTCCATGGTCCATTTAAATGCCTCCCTGCTCCCATTCATCGCTCTCAAAATTAGCTTCAGTGACAAAGACTTCCATCTCTCTCCGGTCGGCAGCCCAGGGTTGGGGAGAGGGGCTCCGCTGCTCACTGGTTGCGACTGTAGGAACTGTGTTGGCCGGCATCGGTGGTGGTGTTCTCACGGGAGGGGGCATCACTGCAGATTGGATGGGACATCCACCTGGGACGCCCACTCACTTCCCTCAGCTGAATCAGGTGACCGTGCAGGGTGGAGGCAGGACCAAGGGGGCGGCGTGGTCTGTATTTGAACAGATTCCTGGCTCACTGAGCACCCGAGGGGACGACGGCCTGGTAGGAGTGGGATAGTTTCCCCTTTGAACAGCCAATAAATACTTTTTATTACAAAAGTTATACTGATATCAACGTCGTCGCCTTCCGTTCAAATGCAGTGCATCATAGCTGAATATTCACACACAGGATGTGACGTCACTGTCTTCAAGGAGTTCACAGTCTAATTTGTCCAAGCACCTTGTGTTTTCACAGACCGTTTAGAACTGGTAAAGCCTTATAGAGTTCTGGGGGAAAGATCCTGGAGAATATATAGGAACATGGTTCTAACTTCTGAGAGTTCCGTCCGTGGCCGCAAAATACGTACCACAGGGGTTTCCTGCCGATTGGGAAAGTGTGTGGGTTGTAAATGAAAACTTAGTTGAGAGGGGGAAAAAAATAATTTATTAAATGAAAATGGGCAAACAGCTTTCTCTCTTTAGATCTAGGAAAATTTCCAGGTTTTTGTCTTCCTAGTCTAGCGCCTATTACCTTGAAAGAATCCCTTAGATACTGTATACACCCAGGAGTCTTTTGTGATTGCAAAACATATTCTCCTCTCTCTTCCCTTTTAAGATAAACTCCTAAAGGACTCTCATTTCTAGGTGAGGGAAAACCTCTTCCAACATCACTGATCTGCGAGTAGGCCCTAACTCTGCCAGCAGGTGGCAGTGTGAGCCAGTGGAAATAGGAAAGGTGCCTGTGTGTGTGGGGGGGGGGGGGGGGATGCAGAGCAGAAGAGGGGGGCATTAAACATTGTCTGGGAGCCATTTTGTTAAACTTTTTTGCCTTTTTCTTTCACTTTGCCCAGCAACTCTTCCTCCCCATACATCAAAGGGGTAAAATTTAAGTGCAAGGATAACTCTAACTCAGGCTGAAATGTCCTGGCACCTGTGATCTCACTGGCGTTTTTCTTTTTTACAGACTTTGACATACGCCGGTTCGTTTGCCTTTTATTCCCCTCCCCTCCCCCTGAGTGAGTGATGAAGGAAATAAACATTTCTCTTCTCTTATGCTAAGAACTTTCCCAACAGTTTCTGCCATGACCACCTTCCAGGAGTTTTCTAGTCGCCCAGTTGAGTTCAATATGTAATCCTTAGCTGTGGAAGTTGTTCCTGGAAACATTTTGGCCCCTAATCTCCTGAGACAAGCGTCCTGTCAGGGGCTTTTCCCTGCACCCTGGTGGTGTTGGGGTAACTCTCAATCCTAGATGGAGACCCGCTGTTGTCAGGGCTCCCTGGGTAACCCCTTACAGGGGCGTGATAGGAAAGGGGTGACTGCGGGAGTCACACAGACCTACTCACGGTGTGAGCCTGGGAAAGATGCTTCACTTCTCTGAGCCTGTTTCCTCGTCTGCAAAAGTGGGGATAGCAGTCCCCACCTCGCAGGGTTGTGGTGAGGATTAAAGATGACGTGTGGAAGCACCTCGCCATACCTGGCAAGTAGGTGCTCAATCAATACTGGGTTTTCTCCCCTTTCCTCTTGCCCTTTCCCCCCGTTAGTATTGATATGAGAAAACATGTTCCTTTTATTCTAACAGTCATTAGGGGATGAATAGGAGGAGTCTTGTCAAACTTAAAAAAAAAACAACAAACTGGTATGAAGTTACGGGGGTGGAGGCTGTTGAAAGTGGCTCTCGTGGAACCTTTATTAGGGTATATTAGGGACATAATTTTAAATCACAGAAACAAGAGTTCCCCTCTCTGGACTGTTTGGTGGAGAGTAGGTGTGGGCCATTGGGAGAAAAGGTAATGTAGGGGCCCCTTCCCGGTAGTACTCAGGATTATGAGTGGAACAGGCTATATCAGTCTGGGACTTTCTTGGGGGTTTTATTACTTCTCAAGTTCTGCTAGCACTGAAAGGCCAACTTCACTAGAACTTCCCTTTTTGTGTGGCACCGCAACAGGAAATTTTAGGAGATTCATAGGGCGCACTGGTTTGTGTCGGGGTGTGGGGCTGAGGTTGACGAGTCCTGGTAGAAGTCCTTCGGCAGAACGAGCTGCTGAGCGGGACGGCTGGCTTATCCTGGGAAACTCAGCGTGGAAAGGCCATGGAGGAACTTACGCTGACTTTTCAGGGGGAGTCTGCTAGCGATTTCAAGTAGCCCTTTGCCAGCCACGCAGGAGCTGGACAAGTCTCAGACCCACACACATTTGCACAAGGTGCAGCGAGCAGGAGGCGGGGGGACAGGGGCGGTAGGAAAGGGTCGCTCCAGCCCCGGGCACGGTCGGTCTTGCAGATCTCGGCTGTGGAGCGGGGCCAGGCCCCGGCTCTGAAGTCTGCTCCCATCCCATGGGTCTGGATGAGGAGGCCCGGGAGGAGAACGTTTCCTACCTCCACTTGGCCAAGGACCCCGGGTTTGGCGAGTGAGAAACTCCCAGCAGCCGCTCCCAGGCGGGTTGTGAGTTCTTAACAGGAATCCCCGCCCTCCTCCCCGCCAACCCTCACCCAAGCGGGACTGCGCCCTGGGGAAGGCGCCAGGAACTGGAGCCAGCCCCCGTTTCTTTGCATTTATTTAAATACGACAGCCGAAACACGCAAAGGGATGAAGGCGAGTTCCACGGGACCTGGGCCGCCCGCAGACCCAGCGCCGGGATCCGCCCAACCCCGCCCCTCACCTGCCCGTACTTCCGCTTCCGGTTGCACCGCCTGTTCCCCCAGCTGGAACGGCACTAGCCGTACGGGCCGCGGGGCGTTTCCGGAAGTGTCGTAAACACCGGATATCCGGTTTCTCCGAGCGCTCGGGGAGCTGACCGAGAGGCCTCCGCCCAGCAGCAGACGCCGTCTCGGCCGGCCGACCGACCCGCAGTGTCCGCGGTGCGTGAGCGAGCCGGGCCCGGTCCCCTCTCCCGCCGCCGCCATGGGCTGCACGCTGAGCGCCGAGGACAAGGCGGCGGTGGAGCGGAGCAAGATGATCGACCGCAACCTGCGGGAGGACGGCGAGAAGGCGGCGAAAGAAGTGAAGCTGCTGCTGCTCGGTGAGGGCCTGTGGGCGGGGCCGGCGCGGCTTTCGGGGCGGCCCGGGCGCTCGGGGGCCGCGAGGGGCGTCCGGCCGGGCCGGCGGGGGGACCCGGAGCGGGTGGAGGGCGTGGCGGGCGGGGGTTCGGCGTGGGGTCTGCGGCTGAGTCTCCGCGGGGCGGGGTGCGGGGTGCGGGAGCGGGTTGTCCGGTGGAGGGATCTGGGGAGAGGGTGTGCCTCCGGGGACTCGGGGGAGAGCGCGGGGAGCGCGGGGAGGGAGGACTGTGTTGGGCGTATAGGAAAGGCGCCCCAAGGAAGCGAAGGGGATCGGGGACGGTTTTTCGAGGGGCGTGGGAGTGGTGGGGAGCCCGGAGGCCCGGGGAGAGGTGTGGGGCTTGTGTGATGGCCTGAGAGTTCGGAGCGAGGTGATAACTTTATGGCCGGGCCGAGCCGGACGGCTCGAGCGGGGAATGTACATAGAGGGGCCGGGCCAGAGGGCCCGAAAGGCCGGCGTGTGCCGGAGGAGGGGGTGCTGAACGGGAGGGAAGGAGGGAGGGAGGACCCTGGCTTGCCCCGTCACACGAAGGTGTGTGTGTGTGTGTGGTCGAGCTAAAAAAGTGACAAGTTCTCGGGGATAAAGGAAAAGAGTTGGGTTGCAGAGGCTGTGTCTGTTTTTCCACCTTTTTCTATCCCTTTTACCCTCTTAAGGCTTTACCACCCCTTCCCTTGGTTTTGTAAAGGGGACATGGTGTGAGCTGAGGAAAGTTAGGGACTGCCCTGCGTGAGGTCTGTGTCCAAAGACGTGGTGGACAGTCCGGTCCGCCCTGGCAAGTTGGTAGGGATGATAGTGCAGTGGGAATAGAGTTACCTTAGGATAGATTAAGGAGCCAGACATATTTACTGTAAAGACTGGGACAGACTTCTGGTGAGCAGGGTTCTCTTCTCTTCTCTTCTCTTCTCTTCTCTTCTCTTCTCTTCTCTTCTCTTCTCTTCTCTTCTCTTCTCTTCTCTTCTCTTCTCTTCTCTTCTCTTCTCTTCTCTTCTCCTCTCTTTCCTTTCCTGGTTCCTTCAGACTAAGAGCATTGACCTCAGAAATTGCTGTTTATTTTACCCCACATTCGTTTTAAGTGGCTTTTAGGTACAATCAGATGCATTTTACTCAGCGTGATTAGTTTTAAAAGTGTTTTGAGAAAAAGGCTCAGTAAACCGGATAAACAAATCAAGCCAGTTGTTTCACTGGAAGTATTTTCTAGGGATCTGTCGAAGAAGAAGTAGCAGTCATGGTTTCTGTAAGGAATAGGACTTTATTTTTTAAAACAATTGATTTTTGAGAAAAAGAAGTTGGTTTGAGAGAGGTGCTCCACCATCACCCACTTTGTACCCCAGGATGTGCTGGGTGCCTGTTACTCCTCCTGTTAACCTGTTTGGTGGTTTGTAGATGGCAGAAGCCCTAGTGACAGCTTTCTGGATGAAGGGGGCGAGTTACAAGTTAGAGCTTGAGGTTCCAGATGGAACCCCTGATCTTTCAGAAAGCGTGGATTCACTGTAGTTCTCCACAGCCGCTCTCTGTGAAGCAAACGCCATTTGTGAATGAGCATGGCCCCCGGCACCTGCTCTTTAAAAACTATTAATATTGGGCAGACATTGCTCTGTGGGGCTTTTCAGGTGTTTGAAATAAATCACAACACTCAGGGCATTAGCATCATCTGTATTGATCAGCTGGTTGTAAAAGTAAAGGTGTCTCTCATCTTCTGTGAGTGTTTTGATTTAGATTGCCCATCAGAGACCCCTCAGGGCATTGGCCTGTTTGTAATACAGCTGCACACTGTGAGGCTTTCTTCCAAGTGGCAGGATTTGGCAGGCGAAACTTGTCCACATGTCTACAGAAATCTTTATTCCGGACTTTTCAATAGTGCATTTAATTAAAAACAAATGAAACATAGGATGACTTAGGAAACCTCAAAAGCTGTAAGTAAAAATCGAAGTGCTAAAGCATTTGCTTTTAATTTTTATCAATTGAATTGTTTTAAGTAAGATTTTTTTTTTTTTTAAATTCTTGAGCAAGTTGAATCAACCACTTCAAGTAGGTTATGGATACAGATGCTCTTACTGGCACGATATCATAACACATATGAAATGCAAGTTTTCTCCCTTGCTGTGCTATTTCTGCCATATACAAAGAATGTTCTTTTGGCTGTAGAATGCATCCTGGTGTGCATGTAAGTCGATTTTTCTTCATCACCGTGACGCTGTCAGGTGTAGTCCAAGTTGCGCTCTGTTTACTTGCCCTTGTTGCTCTGGCACATAATAGGTGTTCATTAAATATTACTGTGTTTTCTTCCTGGCAGGGATGTAGTTCAGCACAGTGATTAACAACATGGGCTCTGCAGTCACACTGTTTCATATTCTAATTCTCATTCACCTTGGGAAAGTTATTTACACAATTCTCTCTCAGCTTCCTCATCTTTTAAAGTGGAGAAAATAGAGGTATTTCATAGTATTGCTGTGAGGATTAAATATGGTAATATTGTGAAGTAGAACACAGCTTGGTACACCGTATTAGCTCAGTGAATAATAGTTATTTTTGTTATTAAATCGAAATGAATGTTACAGATTACAGGTATTATGGAATTCAGATTAAGAAACTAGTATGGGGTGAATTAGTTAAGGAACACTTCCATGTTATAATTGTTTTGTTACGTTTTATTTGAATTTCCTTTAGGTCTCTTATTGGAAGGATCTTGATATGTCAGATAAGTGTTTAATCATAATCTCCTACAGAAAGACAAAATTACATTTTGCAAAGCTTTCCAATCAGAGTGCAGTGCATAGGGTGGCATACAGGTGTGCTGCTTGCAGACTTTTAAAATAGTTTTGAAATTTTAAATCATTTTTATAATTTTTCATTACAACAGTTGAAATGATCATTTTGGTACAGTTTCCTCTGTAAAATTTCTGAATTTGGCATTGAAAGTATTTCCTTTGGAAGACTTATACTATTTAGTATTTAATATCATCTGTAATACTTTGTGTTTGATTTTTCATGGCATAATTTTATGACATATGAAAGACATATCTAGCTTACCTCAATATTATCATTTTCAGTGTGTGCCATGATGTGGCAAAGTTGGACGCACTGGTATAATGGCCAAGAGCACTGCTTTTGAAGTCAAATAAAACCAAACTCGGTTCCACCTCCATTTATTAACTGTGAGACCCAGAGCATGTAACAACCATATGAGTTTTAATTTTCACACAAAGTGGGAATGATGATGCCTGTTTGATAATGTGAAATGAGATGATGCATGCAAAATGCTCAGCAAACAAATATTCAATAAATGGTGACCTCTGTTATTACAGTGTTTGTGAAACTTATTATTTTAGCTACTTTTTTCAAAGGTGTTTCAGGCAGGTATCTAATTATTTTTCAAGTATTAATATACTCTTTAAAGATCTTCAAGGAAGTTTAATAAATATCAATCCTTTATGGTGAAGAAATTAAATATTGTCACTTAGATTTGTAAGTTCTTGCGTGATCTACTCCTGTGCCACCTCCAGATTCTTGTTTCTTGTAGTTCCTCTTAGCAGGTCTTGCACAAACATTATACAAAATGAGGGTGATGCCTTGTTCTTTAGGATTCTGCCAGTGGTGGCGTGGCAGAAATTAAGTTACGTGCAGGTAGTTGGAGTCGTCTAATTCACTTAAGCTTTGTGTTATACAATCGATGATTCACATTTAAATATCTGGGTATCACTGGCTGAATCTGCTCATTGAAATTAGTCAGTCCTTTGATAAGTACCATATGCATTATGTCCTCACAGGATGATATCCTTTGCAATGTTTGCCGTTTTTTGGCATAAGATTCAGACAGTTGTTAAATTTCTTGTGAGGATGCATCTCGTTTCTGAGGGGGGTGGGGGACTGGCATGAAAAGTAGAAATTCACATTATAAAAATAGGTTTGTTTTTTTATAAGCACTCACTGTTCTTTGTGTCTTTTATTTAAATGCACTCCTCGTTCTGCAGTCTGACAATGGGGTCCTTTTTAGGAATTATAAGATTGTAATCTTCCCTGAATAGGCTGATTCTGTGGGGATGACAGAGAGTAGGGTGCTTAGTACTTACTAGAATGTATAGGGTATGTAACCTTTTAACCAGGGCTACCTCTGTGTTGTTTTAAAATAATTTTAGCCTATTAAACTTCCTTGCAGCATTACCAAAAGGTCTTTTAGTTCTGAGGCTGTGTCTCTGACTGGTTCCTCTTTTGGAGAAGCCTGAGACCTGTGTCCCTTACCCAGTTCCTCCCGGGTGCTCAGCCTCACCCCCACCCCCAGCTGCTGGGAAAGGAGAAGGGAGTGGATGGGTCTTGGCAGGTACTTCCTCTTTTCCTTTCTGGTTTCTTCCATGGCATGCTTTAACAAACTAACTGGGGGGGGGGGGGGGGGGCGTGTAATACCCTTAAGGCTTCAGAAGATCCATGGCTTTTTATAAATTGCTAGCACATTTGTGGTTATAGTATTTTCCTGGGGAGAGGAGCTATAGATTCGCTCATGTTCTTTTCCTACAGTACTATCTGCCCTCCATTCTTTTTTTTTCTTTTTTAATACATTTTATTGATTTTTTACAGAGAGGAAGAGAGAGGGATAGAAAGTTAGAAACATTGGCCGAAATCGGTTTGGCTCAGTGGATAGAGCGTCAGCCTGTGGACTGGAAGGTCCCGGGTTCGATTCCGGTCAAGGGCATGTACCTTGGTTGCGGGCACATCCCCAGTAGGGGGTGTGCAAGAGGCAGCTGATGGATGATTCTCTCTCATCGATGTTTCTAACTCTATCCCTCTCTCTTCCTCTCTGTAAAATATCAATAAAATATATGTTAAAAGAAAGAAAGAAAGAAAGAAAGAAAGAAAGAAAGAAAGAAAGAAAGAAAGAAAGAAAGAAAGAAAGAAAGACTGAGCCAAATCGGTTTTGGCTGCCTTCCATTCTTAACATCCATCATTGGGACCAATAGAATCAGTAGCTGC